CCGTCCAGAAGCCGGCGACTGATCTGCCTCACCTGGGAAGAGCGCAGTGATGGTGCCAACTTGGGCCAGTGAAGCAACGTCCTCCACAACTAGATCGAAGAACAAAAGGACAGCAACTTGCCTGTTCCCCTTCCCCCAATTCCCCAGCGCTGTTCCCATCCCCCAATTCCCCAATTAAAAAAAAATCTTAAAATAAAAAAGTCTTGTGAGATATATGTATATATTTAATGCATTTATTGAATTTTCTAGATTACGTCTAAAAAAATTAAAATTAGGATTAGTAAACACTGTCATTTTGATTAGACTGTACTTTATCCACACACAAATACACTTATAATAATTATCCCCTGCAATGATGACAACAATAATGAATAGCAGTGTGTGCCACCTGCCAGGGCACTTGTAAGCTTTGTTATAAGTGTCTACGCATTAAGAAAGAGACTATACATGTCACGTTTATGTTGTAAATGACACTTTGCCTCTTGTGAGTGTATTGATAACTGATGAGCAACTCAAAACATTCACTTTTTAGCTAGCTTCTGGGCACATCTGAAAAAAGTAAACCCTTGTAATGTGGAGTCATTTTCCACCTTACATTTAATGTGGTTTATTCTTTCAAAGTACTTTTAGAGCTCAGTAATTTGTTGTGTTAAATTTAGGATAAAATCTAAAATTTACTTTAATGGATTAGACATAATTATATAAGCAGAAAGATATTTACCATTACGTTAGGGTTTTTTTTTTTGTATCCTGAGACTATATTTTTGAAACTAAAATGTAAATTATATGAAGTAAATGCTGTAAACATGCCTTATGAAAAGTAAGAGAAAATGGTAAAAAACAAAAAAGTGAGAACAGTCTGTACTTTTTTCAATCCCCCATAAACCCTTGAAAATTTGATTACAGGAATGGGAAATGTTAAAAGTAAATACCATATTTTCTTTTTTTAGTTTATGTTATTTTTGAAATATTTCTTTTACCTATTTTTCCTCCCATTTCAAAATACCCTAGTGAAATATTTTTGGGGTAAGACTTGGAACTGTTTGGAACCTTGAAGTGCCAGATCAGAATAAAATTATGCTTTTGCTGTGTTTATGGTAGAAGCCCTTGAATTGAATTCTCTAGTGCCTTTAAGCATATCAGTTTGAAATATGATCAATTAATCATAATGGCCTTTAAATATACAGCAACTCACTGAGCCCCGTAACTCTTTGAGATGGGCCATAGCTCTAGTCAGTTCAGTGAAACAGCAATGAGCCTCCATCTGTGCTAACTGTAGATATATTACCAGTAAAACATAGGCTGATTATAGTGTTAATACAGTGGGTGGTAAAGGTTTCTGTTTACAATTTACCTGAAATTTGAGTTACAAGTTAACTGTTTTATTTGACAAAGTTGTTTTTATTTTACCTGAGACTTTCTATGGTATACTTTGTATAGCAAACAGTAATGTTTTCTAGATAACTAACCCCATATGCTGAACCTGGAGAGATCTAATTTTTTACAACAACCTTTGGGCTTTGTAAGGGACATTTTGCTCATACGAGCTGAATGCTGGCTAAGAAATAGAAGTAATAATAATAAAAATTATGAAAAAAATCATTTAAGATTTAAATAGATTTACCAGCAAAGAAAAGGGCAGAAGGTGGATCTTTAGGTCAACATATATAGGTAATATCCTGGAACTCTAGCATCTATTAAATAGTGATGTTTTCATGCTTGAAAATTATAAAATAAAAATTTGTCAGCAGTTGATACTAAATTTTAGTAGACATGAACAGTAATTTTTTAGTAGCCATGAAAGTAATCTGATTACCTGGAAAGGTACTGTACGCTCCTCCATTAACCAATTCTTAGGACATATTTTTATTTTAAAATGTAGTTTATTGAAAAGACTTATGAGCATATTTTGAGGATCAGTCTAAGAATAACATTGAAAGTACTATGATTAAATATGTATTTTTGTGGCATATACAAAATGAAAGGCTATTTTAAAAAAGGTTTTTATTTAATGATAGCATGACTTGTATATTACAATTAATAGACTAAAATTTCACTGTAAGGAATTATTTTAATTAAGATGTTAGGAAAGTCTGAAGCTCTATAAATGATGTCTTTGGTTATAGTATAATGCAACCTATATAATGGTACCTTTATGGTCTTTTTTTATATAAAAATCACAGTTGTGATAATTTCTCAGCATTCTCTGCATCTACAAAGTCAAATAAAAAACAATTTGAAATATTTTCTCATGTTTGTTAAAATACAACAAACTTTCTTGTAAGTAACTGCTTTTTACCAGCTAATTTGCACATATAATCAGAAAGCTTTAGTCTAATATTAGATTTTAGTCTATATTTTTCTTTAAAAAAAAATCCTTTGTTTAAGACAGACCAAACTGCTGAAATGAAATAGCTCAGAGAAAATGAAATTAGCAAGTAACCATTTAACGTTAGATGCTCATGGTTTACTCTAAGGTCTGGATATAGATCAAGTTCATAGAAAATGGCATGAATTTTCCATTAAGGCACAGATGGTAAGTGTGCTTATCAAATACCACAAGGCAGTCCTCATATTTTCATAATAAAATCCTACCAAGCAGTGAAATGAATACATTGCTTTTTTTGGTCTTTAGTAGGAACAAAGCTTACTGCCTGATTTTTATGGCAAAATATTTTTTTATTGCATCATGAGGACATGCATTACTAAATGAAAAAGATGATATAAACCCACCTCTTGTCAGAAGGCTGCTGTTGAAGCGATGGTATCGTCTGTTTGTAATGCAGTCTAGTGCACAGCCAAGATGGAGCTATTCTTCTATTGGTTGGACCACAGTGCAGCTGACAGTTTCCTCTAGGTTCATTTGCATTAAGTCCTGCCACCCTTAAGAGTAAATCATTCAGAAACTTGAGTAGGGCTGTCTGGGATATTAACTGTCATCCCTTTTATTGCCCTATTTTTTGTCCTTTAAGCTAAATTCCTGTGTAGGAATTTGTGAGTTACCAACAAATTGATGTTTCCTTAGTGTTTTAACTATACAATTACAGATCCTTCGTTGAATATTTCAGTGCTAGGGCTAGAAAATAATGTCAAGAGAGGTAGTAACCTAGGAAACAAACAGTCTAGGTTTACCAGCTTTGTATTTCCCCCAGGAAGAGTGCCTAAGATCTCATAAAGGATAGATGCTTTTCTCTCCTTTTCTTTCAATGTTGTGTTTTATATAAATCTTGCCCTCTGGAAGTGATTATTTCCATGTGGTGGCTTGATTTAGAAATTCTGAGGGGAAAAAAAGGTTTTCAGCTCTAGTAATTGAGAGAGGGTTAGTTTTGGTACTACACCACCTACATTAAAAAAAGTCTGAAATTTAAATGGCAAAAGAATCCTCAGTTGGATGTTTAGAGATAGAACGTTTTCATTTATGGTGTGTTATTTAAAGTCGTGGTCTAAGCATAACAGAATCAAGGTTTTTAATTATGGGAGTGGCTATTATAACAATAGCAGGCTGTTTAAATGCTTGTTATGTAGACTTATTTTAATTGTAGATAAATCAGCACATTAGTTTATGGGGCCATAAAAAGATACATGGAAATATCTTCCTCCTCCTCCTCTCTCCCTTCTTTCTTCCTTCCCTCCCTCGCATTCATTCATTCATCTAACATTCATTGAGTGTTTGCTATGCCTGGCTTTGAGTTAAATGCTGGAGACACCTTGGCAAATAAAACTGTATGTGGTTCATGATTGAACATTTGTATGATGCTTATTCTTAATATACTTATCTGTTTTTTATAGTCTTCCCAGTTAGTTATTTGTATAGAAAAAACTATTTTACTACAGTTAAGCAACAAAACATTAAATATGCATTTATGAATTTCTGTTCCCTGACAAAATAGCCAGCTTCAGATGGAATGTGTTGAAGGCTAGTTAATTACTCATATACAAGGTATTACACAGGGTTTTGAATCTAAATTCTGCCATTTACTACTCTATTTTCTTTTTTTTTTTTAGAAATTTTATTGGGGAACAGTGTGTTTTTCCAGGACCCATCAGCTTCAAGTCAAGTAGTTGTTTCAGTCTAGTTGTGGAGGGTTCAACTCGGTGGCCCATGTGGGAATCAAACCGGCAACCTTGGTGTTATGAGCCTGAGCTCTAACCACCTGAGCTAACCGGCTACCCCTGTTGTTTAAAATTGAACAGTATGTGTCTGTCCAGGTTTCTCAGCACCATTTATTGAATAGACTCTCTTTACCCCACTGCAAATTCTTACTTCCCTTGTCGTGATTGCCAAGGGAATACAAAAGACAGTTTTGGGAATATAATCAATAATGTTGTAAAGATTTTCTAGGGTATCAGATGGACACTTGTCTTATTGGAGAGACCACTTCATGGACGGTGTAGGTGCCTGACCACTGCAGTGTAAACCTGAAGCTGAAGCTGAATAATAATGCATGTCAACTATAATTTTATACACACACACACACACACACACATATACATATATGCGTGTGTGTCTGTATATATATGTATATAGTCACAGGACGAGTACAGCATAAGGAATAGAGTCAGTGGAACTGTAACAGCTTTATACGATGTCAGAAGGGTAGTAGATTGGGGGAGGTGGGTTATCACTTTTGAGGGGTATAAATGTCTATTCATTATTCTGTACACCTGAAACTAAAAAAAAAAAAAAAAGGGACAGTAATATTTCCTAAATAGGATTTTTGGACAAGACATGGAAACAACAAAAGAGTCCTTGCCATAAGAAAAGATGAAATACTGCCATTTGCAACAACATGGATAGATCTTGAGATTATTATGCTAAGCAAAATAAGTCAGACAGAAAAAGTCAAGAACCATATGGTTTCACTGATATGTGGTATGTAAAACTGAAAACAACAAATGAAGAAACAAAAACTCATAGACACAGACAATAGTTTACTGGTTACCAGAGGGTAAGCGGGGAGGAGGGTGGTAGATGAGGGTAAAAGGGATCAAATACATGGTGATGGAAGAAGAACTGACTCGGGGTGGTGAATGCACAATGTGATATATAGATGATGTATTATAGAAATGTACACCTGAAACCTATGTAACTTGACTAACAATTGACCCCAATAAACTTTAATTAAAAAAAAAAATCTTTTAGCATGGCTCTTGGTAAATAGTGTTTGATGAAAGTTAGTTGTCATTGTTATGAGGGTTGTGAACATCTTGAAAAATGAACCATGTAGGTAGGTAGTACTTAATAATTGAAAAAGTAAGTATGAAAGCATACCTGTAAAGCATTCTTAATATTGTTATGTTGGGAAACAAACAAGTAGACTTTAATGTGTCAGGTAAGTTATCAGAATTGTAACAAAGTTATTTTTAGAGGAAATTGCACATGAAATCTTATTTTAGTCTCAAAAAAGCATATTCAATAAAGCCTTTTCACTAACTAATCTCAAAGGAGTATTATGTTGCCATCTAGAAGCTGTTCTTTTGGAACTCTGACAATTGTTACATTTGACTTGCGGTTGGTCTAATGCATTCTTTTGCTTAAATTATTATTACCAAGCTGGGGCCAGACATTGGCTCTCCCCCCTTTTATTTACCTCTACTTTCGTGTATCAGCCTCATGGGAACTTTATAATATATGATCTGATGCCTTGCTAATAGAATGTGTACTTCTGAAATTTTTCCTAGTATTTATGATGGAATTTTTTACCTGTTCTTGTCTGTGATTAATAGAATACATCTGTGATGCAAGGTAACATTAGGATTTCTGCCTAGAAAGATGCAATAAAAAGATAAATGTTCTGAAACATTATCTTCCGTGAAGATTGCTCCTTATTTCATGCTATCATTCATGTTTGTGCAGTGGCAGTGCCTATAGTTTTTATTCCTAATTTATCTCTAAAGTTTATTTTAAAATAGTTATCGTATCATTCTTTTTTATTTCTGTTAATGCCTGTTTGTTTGAATTTGATAAGCAGAAATTGATGGTAATAAGTGATAAATTGAACCTTTTATTCCCCAGAAATAATCCGCTTCTCATGGCTTTAAGTTTGTTAGTAAAGCTCTGTGGACCAGATTGAGATTTGTATTGTCTTGTTTAAAAAGCCTTGCTTCTAATTATGGGGGGAAATAATCAGAATTAAAGAAAGAGTGAGATAAAGGTATTTATAAAAGAAATGTATTTTAATGCTTTTGAATTATTTATACTCTGTTCCCATCCTTAGTGAGATAATGGATACTTACTGCACACTCAAAGATTTTGAATTTTTCACCAAAATTTTACAGGATAGAATTCACTAGATAGAAAAGCCCAAACAAGAAAATTTTTTACCAGAGGTAAAATCATCTTAGTCATAAATCACATCTAATATGAAAATGTTATAATTGTTTTTCGAACTTCATTTTCAGATCATAGCAATGGATCATTTAACTTGAAAGCTCTAACAGGAAGCTCTGGATATAAATTTGGCGTGCTTGCTAAGATTGTGAATTACATGAAGGTAAGTACTTTTCTCAGATAACAAAATCCTATTTAATTTTTTGTCAGAAGAAGGGGATTGGGATTTTCAGAGGTAAGCATTTTTTTTTCTAAAATTGCAGAAAAGGAGTTTATTAGAAGTAGAAATGCATTTCAAAGAAGCAGAAGTGGGCCCGAGCAGTAGAGAACGACTTAAGGGCCATTATTAGAAAAGAAGGTACACTCCACAAAGAGTTTGGAGTGAGCCGAGCAAAGGAAGCTCAAAAGACCCAGAAGTAAATTTTATAGAATTGTATATTTCAATGTATGTAGTTTATTGTATGCCTTTTATACCTCAGTAAAACTATAAAAATATTTAATGCTTTAAGCCTTTTATATCAAATGAACATTGCAGTGAGTCACCTAGGTATATTTAATTTCCATGAATTCAAGGACACAATTTTGAGCCCACCATATAACTTAAAATTGTGCTCAGGCAGTAGATTCAGTCACTTCTTAATTAGTCAACACCTGCTTGCCAAAGGAGTAGGAAAATATAAATGATTAATGGGATATTACTTCCACCGATGTGAGAAGTAAAAGCCATACAGTTCAGGCAGATGGTGGTGATCGCTTTTCTACATCTCAGTAATTAGAGAATTACTGAGGGTCTTAGAAAAACATTGACTCACAAAAGAATTAGAATTTAATGTTTGATGGAAGATTTGGTATTTTAGAAGTAAGTTTTGAAGTTTTAATGATATGACCTTTTGGCTTTAATAAAGACTTTGAATTCTAACTTTATTTATTAAAGTAAAATTTCATTTATAGCTAAGATGGCTGATTGATTTCAAATTTACTCTTTTTCTGCAAATTCTTATTTCCATTTAGTTAATAATTGTATCTCTTGAAAAGAGTCAAAGTACTGTATTTTTAATTATTTCAAATTTCCGCCATATTGCTTAAAATATAAACCAATATTTTATGCTAAGACTTTTCTTTTGTAACTTAAGAAACTTAGTGTCTGGCTATGTCTGAATTCTGTGATTTCTATTTGATTTCTAGTAGAAATCTGTGGTTTATAATTTCCTAATATCAAATAATATACTTTGACACTATGTATTCACCATTCATTCATTCCATCCATCCATTCCCCTACATGGAAAATAATTCTTAAACCAACTATATGCTATTTGTAGCACTAATGGTGGTACAAATACCCAGAAAATGTATGCCCTCTTGGCTTTCAGTCTGTGGAGGGAGACTGACATTTAAATGTCGTGTTTTTGCTACTCTGCTAATAGAGTCTTCACTTATCTAGATGATCCTTACTTATAACTTTATCTAGGACATTGTTCTTCAAATTCTTACTCATGTTCCCTGAAACAGTTTTGAAAAATTTTGTATTCTTTGCACATATTTAAATTGACAAGTACAATTTTTTAGCAAACATTTATGTAGTGACAAGATAGGATTTCTGGTATATTGTAATATTTCAGTAAAATATATCATTTTTAAATTTATCTAAGGAATCTAAATGTTATTATCAATTTAAAAATATGAAAACAAACTTCAGTGGATGAAAATTTTTATTTTCCCTTTTTTTTTTTTAAAGATTTTATTGGGGAATTGGGGGAGGGGAACAGCATTGGGGAATCAGGGAGGGAGAACAGACAAGTTGCAGTCCTTCTTCAGTCTAGTTGTGGAGGATGTTGCTTCACTAGCCCATGTTGGTATTATCATTGTGCTCTTCCCGGGTGAGGCAGATCGGTCGCCGGTCATTGGATGGCCGCTCACAGTGACTCTTGACAGCTCACGCTGGCTGCCAGCTGCTCATGGTAGCTTATGGGAGCCCACTGCAGCCTATGCCGTCGCTAGCGACCCTCAGCAGCCCAGCTTCAGGTCGATCTGTTGTTCACCATCTTAACAGTAGAGGGCGCAGCATCACTTGCCCTAATGTGGGATCTGAACCGGGGTCCTGCTGCTCAGAGCTGGTGTCCCAAGCCAGCTCCCAACCAACGCGTCACTTGGCCAGCCCTGATTTTTCCTTTGAACTTTGTTCATTCTGTTATTACCGCTGTATTGTATGATAATGTTATGCATTTTTATGCTTGAAAATCTTTTATTGATCACCTATCAAACTTATTTGCCACAATAATATGTATATAAATTAAAATTAGAAATGTTTTTCCTGTGACTGTGTGGCTCTAAGTATTAAAAATATCTTCTAGTTTGACTTACCTTTACAATTATTAGCAAACAGTTGATTAGAATAACTTACATATATGAAAATTTTGATTAAAATTCACTTTGAATGTAATCATCATTCAATAGACATCCATTTTTTAATGAAATGAATGGAGCTGTCTCCTTTCTTCCTCCAGCGGTTCTTATGTCTGGAGATAGATATCAATTATTGATAGAATGAAATAAGATTTGGCAACAATTTCTGGTCTTATTTTTAGATTTTGTAGGTTTAAGTGCTGAGAAATAAATGGTCATGTAAGTTAGTTCATTTTAATGGAAGTTTTGTGATAGCAAAACCTTCCAAGTTATATGCCAAAAATCACTTAGTGATTTATTATCATGCATCCATTAGTTGACAATTCTATCTAGTAGGCCCTCCTTCAGTTTTGTTGAAAGCAGAAGACTGCAAACCACTTAACTTGCCAGAGGATTTGTTACCTCATCCTTAATCATTTACTTTTTTTTAAATTTTTTTTATAAAGATTTTTTTTTATTGGGGAATTGGGATGGGAACAGTGCTGGGGAATTGGGGGATGGGGAACAGACAAGTTGCTGTCCTTTTGTTCTTCAGTCTAGTTGTGGAGGACGTTGCTTCACTGGCCCAAGTTGGCATCATCATTGTGCTCTTCCCAGGTGAGGCAAATCAGTCGCCGGCTTCTGGACGGCCGCTCACTGCAGCTGCTGGCCGCTCACGCTGGCTGCTGGCTACACACGGTAGCCCATGGCAACCCACTGCCACAGGGGCTGCAGCCTACGCCGTCGCCGGCGACTCACGGCAGCCCAGCTCCAGGTTGAGCTGTTGTTCAGCATCTTAGCTGTGGAGGGCAGTGTCACTGGCCCTCATATGTGGGATCCGAACCGGGGCCCTCTGGAGTCCCAAGCCAGTTCTTAACCATCACACCACTCGGCCGGCCCATCATTTACTTTTTAAGACGGAAGTATATTAAAAAGGTTCTACCCAGACTTAGCAAATGTCTAATTATGTCAGTTCCCCCTCCCCCCTGTAGGCACCTTCTTTAATCTGATACACTCAGAAGTGGTTGAGAAAACAAAAATAACTAATTTCAGTACACCTTTGCCAGTGTAATTTTTTCATAAAATGCTTGGGTATAAATATTTTTTTGTCAAAACCTTTAGGTTGAAGGTTTAGCTTATTGGACTTACAGCAAGTATCTCTTAGTTAGCAAAGCTAGTCTCCATTGTTAAACCAACCAGCTATATTAAACTTGTTTGTTATCATAAGATATCTTTTATTTTTAAGTTCAAATAAATAAGTTAATATATATTTTAAGTAACATAAAAACCATTGAGAAATAAATTATAGGATACATACTAAAAGATACTACTAAGGTAATTGAGATGAAAATTATATGGATCAAATAGAATTAATTTACCATTTTTATAATAATCTTAAAAACAAACATGCTGTTTACCATGTTATGTTGCATCATTATAAATTACATAATAAAATATTTATGAAATGAGAGATATAATAAAAGGTGTGTTACTCCTTTTCTAAATGTGTGTGCTTGCATCTTCTGATCTTTGATATTCAGCTTTTCGCTATAAATAAAAGGGAATGATTCAGAAATAACTCCATTAATAACTTTATCTGGGGTAATTAGTGAAGAAAAAGGATACCTACTGTTAAAAATGAATTGGTCTTACAGCTAGCTATGATTTTTAAAAATACAAGGTAGAAATATTAAACTGTTTAAAAGATGTAATGAGAATTGACTAATTCGAATAAAAATTTCATGATATGATTTGACAAAATAGGTTTTAACTACCACATTGAATAATTCACACTTAATCTAAAATAGTTCGTATACAGTTTTTGTGGGTTTTATGAAGCATAATTTGAACAATTTGGTACTCCTGGAAAGTATTTCTGTTATGTTTAAAAGAATCAGTCTCCTTAATTGATATTGCTTCAGCTCTTTATATGTGCTTTTTCTCAAGCTAATAAATATTCAAGGAATGAGTTTTGAGAATTGCTGAAGAGAAATACTTAAATACTTGAAAAATTCTAGTTTTATCATTAGATATTTCTTACCAGTGTTCCCTTTACTTTGATCTTAACTAGACACTTCCCAAAGAGCCATGCATTCTTGGACAGTACACCATGGAGGTGGGGTGTATGGGGATAGAAAAGACAGTGTTCTTTAAAAAAAACTGCTCTCAATTGCCCACAAACCATATGTATCAGAATTTAGAATGCTCTGTTGGGGGCCAAAATATCCTGTTTTTAACTTTTAGAGAGAGATATAAGACTGGAAAAGATAGAAGCCCTATAGTGGATGGTTAATGACACCTCAGTTATCATTTATGAAGGCTTACCCCAAACAATATTTTTTTGACTTGTCCTTTTCTTGGGTCGCTGGAGTTTATTACACCTCCAAGCAATGCATTATAAATTTTGGGTGGAGGTTAGAGTTTTACCTTTTTTTTAAAGAGAGGAAGGCCTGTTTTGAAAGAGAAGGAGTACATATGGAAGGTGATCTGTAAACTGATTGTTGGAAAGTCTTCACCTGTCACTTGTTTACTCTTTTTGAAGATCTGATAAAACCAAGAACTTAGCAAAAAAATGCAACAACAAAAATGTTCCTCAGAGTTTATTCATTTACTTATAGAACTCTTTAATTGTCAGTGAGATTTATTTAGAAATTATGTGGAGGAAGTTCAAGAGCCACTATCAGGAAACTGAGAGACTTACAGTGAGATTTACAGCAAGAAGTACTAAACAGGAAAAAAAAAGCAGATACAAGAACTTCAAAATTATAATACTGAGAACAT